CTCCAAATATTTACAATTTGTAGTGTGAAGACAGCTGAACAATGCAAATTAGAACAATTTATCAAATTACTCAACTCTATACACCACCGAACTATTTATTAAATTGTATAACTCAGTAGAATATAAATTCTAGACTGAAAAATTCAGGCTCTTATGAACAAAGTCATTGACAGGTTTTCCAGGTCTACGTTATCTCAAACCTTGAGACTCAAAAGCATACCATAGTCAATACATTTAAAAGATAAAAATCCAATACTGAAGAAGCACCCAGCCAAAAAAGGAAGAAAGGAAGAGAGCCAGTAGATGTGAAGTGCATAGAAACCGGGATGTGGAGTGAGAGCATCAGAAGACAATCAGAAGAGGTATTACTACCACTCTATACGACTTTGGTGCGCCCACAACTGGAGTATTGTGTTCAGTTTTGGGCCCCTCATTTCAGGAAGGATTTAGCCAGGTTAGAGTCAGTGCAGCGTAGGGCCACAAGGTTGGTGGCCGGTTTGCGAGGGTGGGGTATGAGGAGAGACTGAGGGAACTGGGTCTCTTCAGTCTGGAGAAGAGGAGACTCAGAGGGGATATGTTGGCTACATACAGGTATGTGAGGGGATGTCACATGGAGATGGGTAGACACCTGTTCTCCTCTGCAGAGGAAGGCAGGATGCGCTCCAATGGAGCTAAGCGCAGGGAACCAAGGTTCCATTTAGATGCCGGGAAGCATTTCCTGACAGGACCCTGAGGGTGGAATGGGCTTCCATGAGAGGTCGTTGAGACCCCATTGATGAGGGTTTTCAAAGATAGGCTGGACATGCACATGGTGGGCGTGTCATGAGCAGAGCCGGCTGAAGCCGGGGGTCAGACTAGATGGCCCGGGAGACCCCTTTTGACTCGCTCTGTTTCTATGTTTCTCAGACATGTGACCAGTGTCTACTTCTGATGTAGAGCCATGGTCCATCTTAGAGCATCTGGACAGTTGGCACCCTGCTGGGCAACCTGAATAGTTTTATCTGGCCTTATCTCACTTTTTTGTCCTCCAAAATAGAAACCAAAACCAAAAGCTTAATATGTTCTCTTGAACAGACTGACTGTTTCCATCCATCTTTTGAGTTGTAAGTTACCATCACTGAATTGTAAGTTAGCATTACCAGAAGGTGGGTGCAGGCCAGCCATTAGATCATTTTATGATTTGCAGGCTAGACCACTGACATGGATCACAAAGGCCATCATAGTATTGAGCCAACAAAGCACCCATCTCTGCAAAAAGACTGGCTTTTACTGAGTGAGAAACCACACAAAAATCCAGTTACACCATCTAACTGGAAACCAGGCTTCTTTTCCCCTAGCCATCCACTCTGCAATATAGTCAGCATTGGCTTTGGGATCCAAGACTCTACCCAGGTAATTATTAGAGTGACTATTGGAATTCTGTCTCTGTATGTGATGATTACTCTTCCTGTCCCCACCCTACTTTCTCCCAAATAAATTATTTTTACATTAGGACTTTTGGCTGTGTTGTTTTAAAATAAATTTCTCACTGAACTCTTCACCATTTGAAAGACAACATAGTCACAAAGCTACTGTTTCTGTGTTAAGATTTTCAATATGATTTGAGGAAGTTTTCTGTTTCTAGGCCTTGGGAAGTGCAAACTGCCTCTCTATTTTCATAGGTCTAGGCTGAACAAAAGGGTCTTTGGCAAGAGGATTCAGAAACTCCACAAGCAGCTGGACAGACTGTGGTGTGTCAGGGGGTTTGTCCTGACTCATGGTAGCCAATCAGAGATTCTTTTCCTGAGAAATCCACATAAAGAAAGGGTCCACCAGGAATAAAAGTTATCTCCCTTTCTGGCAGTGCTTTCATTGTAAAAAAAAAAGGGGGGGGTGCTGGAACTCAGGTCGCCGCCGGCAGTAAGCATTCAGCGCACAAACACACGCCGATCCCAAGCCGAGCAGCGTCCCAAGCTGGGCGGCGGGGACACAAAAGCAGCCCGCAGGCACTATGTTAATGACGTTTGCTGCTGACCTGCTACGCCGACAGGTGATTCAAAATCACTTTGTAAAATCCATTGGAAAAAAAGGTGCCGGAACGCTGTTCCGGTGTGTTCTATGACAAAAAAAGCCCTGCTTCCTGGTCTTGTAATGCAAACTATGTTGGAGGGGAGACATGCCTTCCAAGCTGTCCAGTGAAAAACATTGGGAACTTGAAGCAACATACAAAAACCTCTTCTGCGATCTTTCCTTTTCTGAATGATGAGTAAAATTCCTTTACAAATGTAGTGTTTTAAAATAATACTGTTAGAATGGATTACAGTCCCGGAAAAGTCAAAATCGAAAAGAAATGATGATAGTACCAATCTAGGATTCACCTGAATTATTAACCCTATCCTCCACATCAGAGGAAGATGAGAAGGTGCTTGGCCAAGCTCCATGTAGGGGGAGACCCTCATTGGCTCAAGATCCCTGCTCTTTCTCATGGACACAGAACACATCCCGCCACTGGTAGGGGGCAGTACAAGCTGTTGTGTCCCCCTCACAAATGCTTTTAAAGCACAGGGGAATTCTCTTCTGAGCCTCCTGCTCTGTGTTATCAAACAGTTCAAAATTAGCATCAGCAGCATGTGGGAGGGGGTAGCAGTGGGCAAATACACTAAAGAAACAACATTGTACGCACTGGATGTTGCACATGGTCACCAGATATAGAGCATTCTCAGGTATGGGGTCTACAGCTGGAACTGGCTTAGCAGATTGCTCCTGAAATACAGTGGCAAGGTCTTTGCACAGAGCCTCTGTCTCCTCTTGCTTCTGATTACCTGAGCAAGGATTCTACACCACGGAAGCAAAGGTAGCCTCCTCTATTGTATTTCTTACCACTGAGAGCTTCTCTACAAGCAACATTTGGTTGTGCATTTGTGATCCTTCACTCAGAGAAGTTTGTGGGGCCTTTTCATGACCTTGTCATCTTACAGGCCCTATCCCATGTTTTCCTGTCTTTTAAGTGTTGTTTAGAGTAAGGAAAGTTTGATTAAAATTCAAACCACAACAAACCAGAAGAAAAGTCTCAGTCTCATGAGAGCTCACAAATTTGTTATATTGCAGCTATACCACTGCCAGCTAGTGGTTAGTTAGTAGAATATATATAGAGCCTGAGAATTACACACCCCAGGAAAAAAGGGCATTTTCTCTCCAGCAGCCAAAAAAAGAAGCACCGGTAAAGCTGTGTGTTAAATGCCTCATGCAGAGAAGCCCTGAGCCTCCTTTCACTCAAACTTTTCATCTTGGCCTTTCAGTCACAATAATCTCCCCTGACATTATGGCCAGTACACACTACTTAACAAATAGATTCTCTATTCAAAAATGCCATATTGCTATAAAACATTCTTTTATGCAAAATACAACTTTTCAGCTTCATAGATAATCGTGCATGGAACCTCACTGTATCGAGAAAACACACACACACACACACACTTTAGATGTGTAATTCAAGCCCCACCAGGAAGCTTAGAAATGGATTGCCTCTCCAGCAAAGGAGGAGGGACACCAGCAGGATATCATGCTGCACCAAACTCGCTGGCCAAAATGGGGAAACCACAGAAAACATTACAACTAATTTCACACCTAACAAGAAGCAGTGTGGAATTGTGGAAACCTTAGAGCAAACTGTTGGTTCTCCATGATTCATGGTAGCCAAATATGCCACATTTCACCATGCTTTCAGTATTTGCACATAATAACAAGCTGTTCCTACCATGGCTTGATAATATGTGTGATTACAGCCAGAACAAACATCTGGGAAAACATTCTCTGGTCTGATGAGACCAAAATGGAAATTTCTGGTCTTGTGACAAAATGCTAGTGCCAACAGAGCTCATTGACCTGAGAACATCCTTCCCATGGTGAAGCATAGTGCTTTTCCTTAGTAGGGATTGGAAAACTGGTCAGGAATGTGGGCAAGCTGGATGGAGTCAAGGCAATTCTATTGGAAAACCTGTTTCATTCTGTAAGGGACCTGGAACTGGGAGAGAGGTTCGTCTTCCAGTAAGACAATAACCATGAATACGCAACCAGAGTAACACTGGAGTGATTGAGTAACAAGAACCTGAATGTCTTAGGACCCAGTCAGAACCCAGATCTCAACCCAATTAAGACTGTGTGGCAGAATATGAAAGTTGATGTTCACGGATGGTCCCCCATCCAACCTGACTGAGGTGGAGAAGCTTTGTCAGAAAGAATGGGCAAACACTAGCAGAATCCAAATGTGCAAAACTAATAAAGACTTACCTGAGAAGATTGCAGCTGCTGCCACAGGCACTTTTACCAAGTGTTGCCAAAGGAGGTGAAGTCATATGCAAACAACATATGTTTAATTACCTTTTGTGTTAAAATATTTTATACTTTTCAAGTGTTGAGTATCTTGCATTTTTTGAGTGGTATCAATGCCAATTAGATTAATTTCCAGGTTGCAACACAACAAAATTTGGAGAAGTCAAAGGGGCCAAAGGCATATAGAAATCAAGGACCGTAAAAAGTGTGATAGACTTGGCTTGGGCCTTCTCCCATAAAGCACAGCTGGTGAAGAATGCAGTCAGTTAAAACAATGTAGGTGCTGACTACAGCCTGCCCAACCATAAATTGCATTGTGGGGGTTTCCATGTTTTCAAAGAGCTGATCATAGTGTGGGGGTGGGATGAGAATGGAAGGCAGAAAAGCTGCTGATCACGCAGGAAAAGCAGACCTCAAGAACTAGGCATGAGATTTTGTGGGTTGTGATCTAAGTATGACGCTAGGAAGAATTGTTCAGGTTGGATAAACAGATCAACATCAGAAAGAAAAGAAAGATGCAAGGTCTGCCAGATCGGCCCAGTCAAGCAAAGAAGTCACAATGACATGGATCACTGCCAAGTTAGCTGAATGTAAGGAAAAGCCTATCCTAGGAATTCACGAGATGAGGATGTGACGACTTGGGAGAGCTCATGCCCAATAGGGCTGTCTCATGCAAGGTACAAAAAGGGGCACAGAAACAAAACTGATGTTTATTATGGGGCAGCTTAACAGTGTCCCTCCAGCTTGTAACATATTAGCATTGCTACATGCAATTAGAACTATGGCTCATAACATGCTAGTATGAATAATTGAAGAAATCAGAAGGACATAACTAAAAAGACATATGACTGCAATACAGTGTTGTACCGTTATTTTCTAGAAATATAGTTTTGTGGCTCATGTCACTGGTTCAACAACTAAAATTCTTCCTCTAATTTTAGAAGGGTCATTTTTATGTCTTTCAAGGGGTGAGGGGAAGGCTTTGGTAGATAATATTTCATTCATCCTGGAAATCTGAAAACGAAAGTCCTATAAAGATATCGCTTAGCCTGAATAATGCAAAGCTTTACATACTGTTTTAATATGATTTTTACTACTATCAAAGTATGTCATATGAACAATAAACTTGAATTTACTCCTGTTTTCTACAAGAAAAGTGATTTCTATATGCTAAGAAAACTTGATTTTTCTAACAGTACAGCTGAGCCATAAATGAGTAGTATACTTTAAAATGTATTGCAGTTATTTTCATAAGGAATATGATGAATATTAGCATACTACTGACTAGTTCAAAAGCAGAGAAGGTACCATGAGGCTAAATATCTAAATAGGACATAAACTGGTGAATTATAATAGTGTGAAAAGTATAAAAGGAAAAGCAGTTTGCTTGTTTGTTTTTACTTACTTGATTGCAAATATTCAATACATTTCACTCTGTAAATTCCTATTGGAATGCTAAATGTCCAAAATGTCTCACCATAAAACATTATTGTAATTTTATATATGGAAGCTTATTTGCACAATTAATAACTATTTCAGTAAGACAGCTATTGGTTTATAAAGCAATAATATCTGGATTGTTTTGCCACATGATTCTGCTTTCTATAGTATTTAATTCCTTTATCCAAATCAAAGGAAATCATTTCTAAAAGCTGTTACATTAAAATAAAAACTTTTGAGCTCTATTGTGTCTTTCAATAAACAAGAGAACTCTGGTTCTTCCCCACTGTAAATTAAGAACTTTTGCAATCAAATTCTCTAAAGTTCTAGTAACAAGATGAAGTCCTCATTTTTGTGAATATTCATTTGGAAGTAATCAAGGGTTGCAACTGTCCAGGGGCACTTGCACACTTACTGAGATCTGAAAATGGGCAGCCTCACCCACAGAACGTCCAGGGAGGCACCTGTTCCCAATAGTCTTTTCTCTCTACTTGTCAGAACACACAAGCTGTCAAGTCAATTCAAAGGTGAAAGTGACCTTTGATCATTTAAACCACACTGGGTGGGATTTACACCCCCTTTGCAGCATGATCCTCCTCCTCCTTTTTGAACTCCACTCTCTTAAGGGTGTTATCACTTTTCCACTTGTTCTTGAGTGCTTGGGAACATGGAAAAGCACAAGCCACTTTAAAAAGAAACTATCAGAACTCTGGCTCCTTTTAAAAGTTTCTTCACAGGGACATATGCAGGGATGCATTTTAAAAGGAAGGGGAGTTTTGGCAGCTAACTCTCAAAACTCCAAGTCCTTTTAAAACAGGGTGGCTTGCACTTTTCCATGTTCCTGAGCAGCTAAATTCTTGGGAACAAGTGAGAGTACCCTTGCAAAAGTGAAGTCGTAAAAGAACAAAAGACCTTGTTATAAAGGGAGTATAAATCTCACCACCCCCTTTGTGCATGCAAAGATCGCTCAAACCTTTGTCTTGTCTTGTCTTTTGATAGTTGTTAAGCAAAGTCAAAAAGGTGGGGGAAAGCTATTTGGGCTGTATCTGACTCAACATCCAGGGTTGGCTCCTGCACTTTGGCAGCAGGTACCTCCCTGGTCATTGCTCAAGCAAGGGTGCCCATTTTCGTGAGGTGGGCACTTGTGAAAGAGTTAATACACACAGGTGTGTGGGGGGTGAAAAATAATGGTAAAATTAGTTTACCACCACAGAGAGTTCCTCCAAGGTTCTGCTGAGGCCCTTTGAAGGGGCTGCCAACGGCTATCAAAATGGAGATCACAAAAGCCATCTGTCAAATTTGAGGTCGTGATCTCTGAAAAAAGGGTGAATGGTGAAACAGTCACTACAAGCCAAAAACACCTCACAATTTTGGTGGGGGGCACCCAGCCAGTGCCAGTGACCCCAAAGTGCTCACTGGGCGCCTGTGGGGCAGCTGCTCCTGGCAGGAGCCTGGGAGAAGCTTAGCAAGGGTTTTTGTCCCTCTTCCCAAGCTCATTAGCCGCTTCTCAGTACCTATAATGGTGTCAATCACCCATGTTCAAATGATTTTACAGATCACTGTGAGTATAACACCCCCTAAAATAAGCCATGAGTTGCCAAAACAGGGTTATTGCCCACAAACAAGCCACCCTGTGTGAAACAATCTGGGTGCACACAGCATGACAACCCCTGTGGCTTATCAGCTACGCAGGGTTGTCATGTCATGTGAACCCAGCCAGTGTTGTTTAAATAATCTTGGCAGCACCACTGGCTTTATTCTCAACTAAGTAGTTACAAGACTACAGACTAAACATTCCTTTCGAACTGTGATTTCGTCTTCCCATCTTCAGCAAAATACTCAGAGTCATTTTTCCACATTGTTGCACATTCTACATATCATTTCTTAAGTTACATGAGAACACAGTCCAATCATGTGCACACTGAAGTACACATAATTTCCCCTATTAGTATTACCAATGTATTCACTTTAGTGGCCTTCTGGATGATAAGAATATCCTGTTCACCACATGCTCTTTCACTTCAATGCAAAAATATGATAAACTGAGAAGTCAGCAAGCACATGTCTGAAATTAAAGGTTTCAGAGCTAGTTTCTGCTTGATTTGAGGCATAAAATCAGGAAACATGTAATAGATCATGAGACAACTGGAATACAGGCAGGAACCAGAAACAAAACTGTGATAAAAATCTGCCCAGGGCATCAGGCTAATTCTATGTGGATACTGGACTCCAGGATAATTTAATCATGCAGGAATGTGCCCTTATGAATCTGGGAAAAGATAGCATCCCTCATCTTCAAGGGTACAGCAGCACGAGTTCCCAACAAACGTCTATAATTTTCCTTCTGCCACAACGTCCACCTGGTTCCCTGCTTTTTTAGAGTTCGATGGAGCTAAGGGCTTCTTCAACAGATTGTGTATATCTTTCACCAGCAGAAATGCCACACAGCAGCTGGTCATCCTTTACTGCAGCCCAGGACATGTTCTCAGTGGAGAACCTCGCAGCCCAGTCTCCTGAATTGCTGATTACAATGACCCCACCCAATCCCCCAACTCTGGTTTTCATGATATTTAGGGCAGCATCGGCAGCTTCTTCTGGAGGCTTCCCTGAAAAAGAATCAGAAGATATGAGACAGATATATAAATAATTAATTCAGATAGAAAAAGTGAGCCTTTTTTATTTAAACATACATAAAATTGATGTACATTTTGTATCCTCCCAGATTAACCAACAACAGGCTTCTGTAGTAGCTAGCATTTACCAGGATTAGAAGCTTCTTAAGTGTGATGGCCATGATCCAAAGAAATAAGCAACTAATTCTAAGGCATCCTTGAGCTTGTTTTTTCCCCCTCAAAACTGCAGTCTCCCAGACTCTGTGGCAAACTTCTTTGGAACTTGACTGCAGTTGTGGGGGGTGTCAAAATTTCCACTGAGCTCATTCTCTACCCTGCATGTGCCTAAGAAGTTCTTTCGTTCCCAGGCAATATAAGTATCACAGTTCTTGCCCCACTGCCTACAAGAGTCATTGCCAAACTGCCTTCATTAATACCACACCTGCTTATAGAATCAAAACCAGTTGAGCCAGGGTCTCCTAGTCCTTCAAGCTATGTTTCAGCAGACCCTGACAATCATTCCTCCAGCCTCTTTCTTAAATGCCTCTAAAGAAAGGATATTCCACTCTCGCCATGTAACTGAGTTCCATTGGTCAGCTGTTCTAATGACAGACAGAATACCAAAACAAATTTCTGTTTCTTCTCTTTAGTAAAAAGGAAAGGGAAATAAAAGAATATTTGGCAATCAATGAAGTAACTGCATCGCGAGATGCTGACCACAGGTCATTCTCTTGTTTCTTGCCCATACTCTCCTGCAAACTAATTGATTTCAATCGAATTTAGTTGTTTGTAATCTGACAAGAATGAACTTCTACGGATGTTAATCATTTTCTTATCCAAACCTATTATTGTGTGGAACACTGGTGTCAACCAACCACTGTGGGGTTTCACTACAAATGTTTTTGGTACTTCTACAAATGAAGACCTTTAATCATGGTTAAGTGTACAAAGCCAGCACTAATCAAAGACAGAGGTTCATTTAATCATTTTTAAAGAGAATAGGATGCCTCATGAAGAAGATCTCTGCATGTGTGTGTGTGTGGGGGGGGTGGGCACAGCAAACAGCCACAATATTATTACCTTTCATGTCCCCATTCCCAATGTATATTCCAGATTTATTTCAATGCATAGTGTCTTGCTTCATCTAAATACTCCAGGTGCATCAGGTGTGATAACAGTAACCCAGATATAACAGTCAACTGTAAGATTTTGCCCTTTCTGTTTATAAAACTGAAACTTAAATACCCCAGAATGGAAACTATTCTCATGCTTAGAAACCAAAGCCCCAGCCTTTATAAACACTAACAGGAAGGTTATTTTCATCCGGGCAACAGCTGCTATAATAACACGCAGACATTCCAACAATTGCGGGAAGGATCATTCAGTTCATACCCTTCAGTGGAACACCTGCTCTTCACTTGGGGCACACTATGGTCGGAGTTATGTGGGTTGATTTGAAAGGGGCTAAAGACAGTCATTGGTGATTTAATCTTTTGAAAATGAAATCAATAACCTACCTTAATGCACATTCCAGATTATGCACATAGGTATAATGTATATTTTCCAAAATCAAATACAACTGTAGTGATGCACTTCATCATCTACTGCCTCAACAAAAAAATAGATGAATAGATTCCAATGAAGCACCCCAGAGCAGATTTTAGATGCAAATCAAAGGGACAGCACCAATGAATTTCATCCACATGATCAGCTCAGACCTGTGGACTCTAATGTGGTGAAAGTATTATATAAGTCTGGATCATGAACAAAGAGAGCACCACATAAGAATAGGTACTAACCTTCACATTATGCAGTGTGTGCTTGTTTTTAACAGACAGGCCATTATGTTCCCACACAATGCAACTGCTGTGCACTTTTTCCTCTACTACCGGGCCATTTTCCTCCCTTTCCTAAATATACTGCTGAAAAGGTAATCCATCTATTAACTCATTTCCATCAAGACTCCTTTATTGAAATGTGCAGGGTTTTTATTCATGACATTGCACAAGTTTGCCTTCTTCCAAGTTTTGTAACAGGAAAGCTTTCATCTCCATTGCTTTTTAAAGGATGCATGACAATATATGCACATTTCCTAGGGCTAGATCCAATTTATTTTTATTAAATTTATTTAATTATAATTATAATTTATCTTGCAAAGACCCAAAGGCAACTCATAGGGTCCTCCTCTTTGCCATTTCATCTTCATGACAACCCTGTCAGGTGTGTTAGATTTGGCGACCAACCCAAAGTCGTCCAGGGAGTGTCATGGCAGACCAGGGACTAAATCCCAGATCTCTTGAATCCTTAGCAGGGACGGGCCTCAGGATGCATTTTTACATTGATTATAGTCTTTTCTGTCAGGTCATGTCTAGAAGGTAATGGAAGGATTACTGTTTGACTGCATCGCTATGGTATCCCACAGGGTTACATCAGCTCCCACTCACATATTTACTCAAAACTGCTGGAAGAGATCATTTGAAGCTCTGAAATAAGTTGCCGCCAAAATATTGATGACATTCAGCTCTATTGCTCTTTGTCACCTAACATCAAGGAAGCAGCTGAAACCCTTGAAAATGTCCTAGGTTCAAAAATGGACTGTATGAGGGTGAACTAGCTGAGGTTAAATCCAGACAATACAGGGGTGTTGCTGGTCAGCAGAAAGTCTGATCTGGTGATAGAGATCCAACTTCTGGAAATCACTGCACTCTCCCAAAAGATCAGAATCCCAGATTGCGAATGCTCCTTGATCCTGTGCTGTCCCTTCAGGGTGTGGTGATAGCAAGGAGTCCATTTGTACTTGGTGCACCAGCTATGACCTTGCTGAAATGGCCTGGCTTGGCAACAGACGTCTATGCCTTGGTTGCATCATGTTCAGACGACTTGCAGTGCATCCTATGTGGGGCTACTCTTGAAGAGCATCTGGATGCTACAATTGGAGCTAAATGTAGCCACTAGGCTTCCTAGCAGTGCACAGTACCAGGGCTACGTTATACGTGCTAACTGCATTCCCGGTACAATTTAAGGTTTTAAATTATAAAGTCAAGAACTGCTTAGACCCTGGCTAGTCATGGAAAGATGGTGTTGTTATGAACCTGCCAGTTATGAAGATTAGCAGAAGAGGCAGTCCATTATACACAGAGACCCATTTGTTGGGCACATGTAAAATGGCTTTCTTCTGTGTCACCCGCAAACTATGGAATACTCTCACTCGAGATCTACAAATGGCCCCCACTCACCTGGTTTTTAGAAAGGGTGTTTTACTGTGTCTTATGTTCTTACTTCCATTGTTTTAAAGTTGCAATATTTTAAATTACTGTGTACTACCTGAGTGTCATTTTAATTTATTTATTTCATTTTTATACTGTCCAATGGCAGCAGTTCTCTGGGCAGTTAACAAGTGTTTTTAAAAAGCCTATATTGTTTAAACACATACACAAACACACATAGCAATTGCAACTGAAGTTTTAGCAAACAAAGCTGTATATGAATAGTAATGAAAATGATGATGACAGGGTGGTGGCAGTGGTGACACTGAGAGCCAAACAGGTAGAACCCTCTTCCCACCCCACCCCAGGCTTAAAAAACTGCAATGAAAATCTCCTGGTGCACACAGGTTAAAAGAAAAAGGTGCAAACCACCTCTCATACGAAGGAACTGAGTGTCCCAAGTTACTTTTTCTTTAACATGCCACTTGTTAACATGCTAAGAGAGAAGTGCAACATCACTGTGCTAGGGCATTTGTCTACAAAGAGGCTTGCACTAATGCACCTGGAACATATTTTGTATGACATTAATGAGCTTCTCCCCTGTTCATTTAACTGTTCTCCTGCATCTGTGGATCAGAAGTTCTCCCTATCTGGAGTCCACTAGTGTCAGAATTGTATTGTAATATCTGCAAATGCAGATTAGTGTTAAAAAAAACGGGGGCATGCTTGGATATGTTCAAGAGGAGCAAGCCAGTTTATTAAGTTTATAGGCTGTAATATAAATCGAGTGCCGGGATAACATTGGCGGTAAAGCTCTGCTGGGTCATCTGTGGCCAGATTATGTTACAGTCCCATGAATATCTTGTTGCCAGCTATTTTTCATCGTCACACTTCCACTTTATACACAGATCAATTCACAGATCAGCCCAATTTGTTTCATTCACATAACCTTCCTTTAAAACAGAAGTCAGAGGCGCTGGTGTTTAAAAATGATTTGATGGATTTACCCAGCTAATTTCTGTTGCCTATGAAATTGCAAAAATGTACCTTTGGACCAGGGCTAGTGTAAACTTAGCCCTGAGTAGAAAATAGATCTATAATCAGTGGAAGGTGATAACCTGTGACATATCTTTTTCCTTCGTTCTACAAGAGCTCTGGCATCCCATGCTTTCATTTATTGACATATTTATACATTTCAACTACTCCTGCTGGTCACTCAGGATGATATATAAAATTCAGATAAAACAGCAGTAAAACTAATACGCCATCACAATAAAAAGGAAGGTATAGCAATAAAATGGAAACAGCAACCAGAATATTCATTAGTATAAAACTAGAAAGTGACATTGGAAACCAGTAAAAGCTTGACAGAACACTTTGTTCTCCATCGCCCATCTAAAGCATAATAAAGAAGGGGCTATTCTGATATTATGACTCCACAGAGAGTTACTTCCATAATTGGAGTGCTGATACCAACACCCCCATCTTGAGTAGCCACCAACCATATATAACTAGGCCTTCTGCAAAAATAACTGTAAATTATGTACAAGTTCATATGCCTTGTAGTCTGAGAAATGTCTTATACTTTAGTTGGACTCCAAGACTTGAGGTGTATAACAACAACATATATTATTTTCTATAACATAAACCTGTGAATGAATAAGTAAACACTGCATTGCTGCATTTTCAATATCTGAATGATATCCAGATAACTTCCTATGTACATGTTTGTGGCACTGAAATTACAGACCATAAACTATTCCAACCAACAAGCTGTCAGAGATGGAGTCATTCTATACTCTCCATAATTTGGGACTATCAAAGTCTTAAGCTTTACCTTGTTCCATGTAATACAGGCTAAGTCTTGCAAGAACTACTTTCATAATGCTCTCTCCATGGCCTGTGGTAGAGGTAGCACCAACATTATTATCTGCATAACCACCACTTCCTGATCAAAGACAAAGCAAAAACGTTAAGAGTGCATTCAATATTCCACATCCCAAATCAACTGTGGAGTAAACATTAAAACAATGATCAAAGCAGCCTCCCTATCTTTTGTGAACTAGAAGAACCCAAGCGGGATACACTGTACATCCACATCAAAGGAAGTCAGCAGTGAGGACAGGTGGATTAAATGGCAGTAGGGCAGGGTATTCACTCAGGGTTGCAGTCGGAACTTTAAGGAGCTATCCATGGTGCTGAACACCATTTCCACCTTCTGTAAAGTTTGGACTAAACCCAGAGTAGGTACACTGCCCATGTACACTGGAGTCACCAAGCTCCACTGGAAGGAAGTTCAGAGAGAACCAGTTAATGGTAGGATGCAATGGTGCAGCTGAATGGTAGGATTAAACATCAATACTCTTAAATAGCTGTGTTCATCTGAAGTCAGATTACTGCGGAGGTATATTTTTTCAGAGAGCACAGTAAGTACTAGGAATGTGCAAGGACCAAAAGACTCCCTTGGAGCCTGATTTTACTCGGATTTGAAGGCCAGCCTCTTCCAATTTGCATGACTCCCACTTATCGCTGGAAATCAACAAACAGCTATAATTTTTTCTCCTGTTTGGCAGGAGCGGCTGAATTCTGGACAAACAGCAGTGCCTTGTAAAAGGCTTATGCCTGCCAAACATCAGGTGTGGGTGGTATTGTGTTCTGCACCTTTATATTTTGGGTTCTTTTTAAAGCGAACTGCAGATACCCATTTTTACTTCTGGGCAGAATTGGATGCAAGTTGCAGAGACCTACCATTGCAACTTCTGAAGGGATCAAACCTGTCACGTTTCAGAAGAATAAGCATAGGGAGACTTGTGCAAGGGCAGCCTTTACAATGTAGGCATTTCCAAAAAAAGAAAACACATACATACACACAGACACACACAGAAACACACACACACGGAGGGAGGGAGGGAGGGGTGCTTCCTTCTTATGTTTGTTGATGACAACTAAGTGGAATTGTTTGGATTTGCATACTGATTTGTTGGCAAATGGATGATGTGCCACTAAAGGAGACAAAGTACCAACAATCACTCAAAAGATTTCTTGTGAATGGGTGTCTTCCTGCTTTTTTCTCTTGATTTTTTATTTTTTGGCTAATGGAACTATTAAAATCTGGGAAGAAATCTTCAGTCTATTAAAGCTGACACACAAATCTATTGAATTTGCTCACATACAATAAACTACCATTCAATATATTTAATGTATTTTTCCTCCTCCTTTATTCTTGATTCCCAACTTCTTTACCTTACTGCCTGTCAACCAACAAAGGGTTACTAGAGGTAAATGAATAATTTTTAATGGATGGAACTGTGTAGGAGCATTTTACATGGTCTGTCTCGCTCACATACACTGATTAACTCTCAGCTACAGATTGCAAAACAAAAATTAAAGTTTAAACTAACAGCATAGTAAGTGGATGATAACATTTGCTAATATGCTATGTCCTTCAAACAGCCTGCCAAGCTAACAATGGTTCTGGAACTATGAGTAATAATTGTTTGTGGCGTGAGTGTCATTTGAATTTAAAACAAAAGCAATAGCAAGTCTAATGCTGTGAATTACTAAATAGCTTTCTATTTGCAATTTCAACTGAATAACCAAAGTAAGGAGCCCAATCTATTCAGTGTACATGTGGTATACTAGTGGTAAAGTATTATGTGTATGCAACTACTCTCTTAGTTCTTAGAAGCTTTTCAGGAGCACCCCTGATTACTTCCTCACAGAAGTCCTATTAGACAAAACATATGCCTGCTCCCACAAGAAAAGCACTTATAGAGAATATATTTCATGTGAGTGTATCTAAATAGACAATCTTGAAATACATCCTTTTTCTACTCCTTAACCATCTAACTCTGAGGTTTGTTGTTCGGCATGAAAAAATTATCAAATTGTCACTTCAGAACAAGGAACAGCTCAATAAAAATGTAATTTTTCATTTTTATTCAGAATCCAAGCTCTGCTTGCCATTTCTGCTTCAGTACTTCCCATTTCCACTGCTTGATTTTATTTATTTATTATTTATTTATTTTATTTATCTAGGAGACTTCTATGCTGCCCCATTCGCCGAAGCCTCGGGGCGGCTCACAACCATAAACAAACTTCAAAATAGAATAATATAAATTAACAATATAAATTAAGTCACCCTGGCCAAAGAATAAAATGAATAAATATTAACAATTAAAATAACATTTGAATAAAAAGGTGGCTTGCCTCTTTGGTAGCAGAAACGGCTACCACAAGCCCTCAGCTCAGTTCTTTAGACTACAACCTTTCTGCTACTTAAGGTTGGGAGAAGCAGGGATGTCTGAGTTTGCTGAAATTATCTGAATTTCACTTCAAAGCTTGTTTTGGCTCACTCCCATTCAGAAAGTTTGAATGGGGAAAATGTGCACTTCCAGTGGAAAAGTACTTATTTCAAAAAACTGCACATGTCCCCACACTGAAAAAAAGTTTTAAAATGCTCATATTGGAGGAAAATGCACATTTCAACGTGAACATTAAAAAAAACTCTCCACAATTTTGCGATGCATGAACATTTTTTTGAAAAACTCTCATCCATTTGTGTTCATGTATGGGTTGCAAACAGGCAAGTTTGAATGATTCATGGATCGAAATACAATTTTCATACATTCCTATGCGTTTCACTTGATATGAAAAAGAGACACTCTTCTTCCGTGACTGTTCTCCCCTACCGATGCATGCTGTATCACCAACACGGCCAACTCGCTTGTTAGTAAGTCCCCCTGTTGATGTTGCGCAAGCTACATTTCCTGCACTGTCGATAGCAACGGCTCCAACTGTTCCAAGGTCTCTGCCAAAAATAGCATTTCAAACAATTAGTTGAAGACCGGAGAGCATTTGTCAAAAGAACACCACATCTGTTCTCACAGGTAGCATTTCCCAAGTATGAAAAGGCAACAGAAACCTTCAGACTGAAGCCACAAACTTCAATACAGGTCCACTTATTTGGGGAAATGCATGCAAATTAAAGAGGCACGTCATGGTTAATGCACTTCTGAGTCTGCAATTAACCTTATAAAGCCTGCTCTGCAAGATGGCAGCTTTTGAATAAAATAATTGATGTACATTTTGTGCAATTAAAAATTTTTGCAACCTTAATTGATGGGCTCCTTTTCAGCTTGATAAAGCTGATTTGTTTGGCACCTTCATCAGTGCACCCCAATCATTCCTTCATTTCCTTACAATGGTGTTCTTGGAATGAAAACCAGAGGTGGAAGGGACTGGGCAACCCTCTGGAGAGGACTTCAGGACAGAAGAAAACATAGAGAAGTCTTGCTCTGTAGCCCTGGATTTATGCCAAATACTTTGGGCAGTCACAGGTACTGAATGGTACCTGCATGCTTTGCCACACATGAGGAAAATTTTACTGAAAAACACTTTACAAGGAGAAACCTAGTGGTGTGGTGTATGAGGCCTCCTCCTGATATGGCTGCTTTAATCTTTTCTTTTAAAACAAAAACACAGAAAAAAAACTTGTAGGAAACTTGTTCTTAGATCGCCTGTGGCGTGGACCTCCTTCCTAGTTTGGCCCACAATTTTGGAAGGAGTGGGAAATAAAGAATATAGTGGACTGAAAAGCATGGATCTGAACAGAGGAGGCATGGATGATGACAGATGGACGAATAGATTGATGACAGATTTGGGGGAAACCCACACAGGGGCCCTAGAGTTGGGAAAGGCTGTGCATACTTGGCAAGAAAGAAGATTGCCAGTGCATGCTTTATAATGCAGAGGTTGGGTACCTCAGGCCCGTGTGCTACATCCAGCCCTCGGGGGTTCACCAAGTAGCCACACCTCACTTCCTCCTACTGGGGGTTTTTCTACATTCTATAATGGTGAAATACTTAAGAGCTTTAAGCTAAAATAGGCTGAGATTTTTGGCATTTTGCACCCACTTCTTCTGTGTTATATCTTTTAAGAATATAACAGCAACCCTGCTGGATCAGACCATCAGATCCAGCATCTTGTTTTCCACCATGGTTCACCAGATGCATCTGGGTATGCTGCCTCCTACTCTGGAGATCACATCCAGCCATCAGAACTAGTAGCCATGGAATCTAGCCATACACCCCCCCCCCATTTTTCCCTTTTAACTTATGTGAGCAGGCAGGACTTTGCCAAAACACCAGTGTGTATACTTGCTTTTGCAGCTCTGGGGGGCTTGAACTGGTCTCAAGGTTTTTCCTCCACCTTTCTCGTGACCTTTCTGTGATTAATGACTCTCCAGGAACCTCAGGAACACCCATGGCCCTAGCAAAGGCAAAGGCCCCCTGGTCCGTAAGCAACATATGGTCTGTCTGCAGGAGAGAAGATAGAAGCAGTGACTTGAACTGTTACAAAAGTTTCTACACCCAATTCCGCTCCCCTGCACACACAGGTCTGATTTGAGCACTATGTATTTTTTTTTAATCCTATTGTTTACAGAATGTGTACTTCCAGGAAGCACATTTCAGTAAGTAAATCCATTAACATCCACCATTAAAGAACTAGTTTTGCAATTATGAAAGATCTTCACAGTTAGCATAGGCCAGAATGTAATCCCTTGATAGGTCCTGCCTAGGACATGCCAACAGGATTTTGGCTTCCTTATACAGCTGCAGGTGCAGTGCCAATAATTAATAATAATAAAAATAGTGTGGATGCAAAGAGACAAATTGAATTTCTAGTTTGAGGTTCTTTGCTCCACAAGACAGATTTCTGAAAGAAAATTAAAAATATATGGGGATGAGGAAAGATTGCCCTGTTTGGTGTCAACAGTGTTCAAGCTGCAGAGTATGTGCAAGAAGTCACAATGCTTCACATGCATCTGAAATGGAACTGCTACATTTTAGGCATGGAGAAATTCTGCCTTTCATTTGTCCAGCTTCTGCTGCAACGTGTCATAGGAGAGCTCCTCAGTGTTTTTCATGCAATCTGTTGGTGGCAATTTCACAAGGAGGAGGCAGAGCTAGACTTTCTCCCTTCAGACATTCAAAGCCACAGACCTTTCTTGCAACATGCTCTTTATTGACCAAAGCATTTTCCAGATGCACAAACACCCAAAATGAATCTCTGAGAATTCAGAGCCGTTTTTTGAACCCAGTCTAGTAATCACCTCCAGGAACTCTCCTTATGAGCATGCCTGGGCCCCATCCATTCAGGAGGGACCTTCTGAAAGCAAGCATGCCTCCTCTGTGTGCCAATCCTTTAATTCATGGGTCCTCAAACTAAGGCCCGCGGGCCGGATCCAGCTCGCCATTCCCTTTTAACCACCCTGCACCACACATTTTGCACTTGCTGGGCAGGCAGCTTGCTCGCGAGGAGGTAATTTTGGAAATGCTTTGAGAAACATGAACAAACATCATCTCCTCGTGAGCAAGTCAGTGCCTCGCCGTGTGTGCTCCTGATAGCAGCTTGCTCACAGGGAGATCATTTTGGACTTGATTGGAGAAAACGATCTCCTCGCAAGCAAGCCGATGTCTCAGTGTGGGCACACCCAGTGGCGGCTTGCTTGTGAGGAGATTGTTTTGGACTTGCTTGGAAATTATCTCCTTGTGAGCAAGCCAGTGCCTCACCCCACATGCCCCCCCCCCCCGGTCTCTGCCTTACCTTGCCTCGCATGTGCCCACACCGGCCTGTGCATCCCCGCTGGCACCACCTTGGTGGCCCATGGCCACCACTAGCAACTATCAACAGACCCCCCCATTCAAAAAGTTTGAGGACCCCTACTCTAATTGTATCCCCCTCCCTTTGTTGGCAATGTGTCATGGGGTCAAGAGCTTTCCTTGTCTGAATCTGAGAAACTTTCTTGGTCCACGTCCCCGCCTGCTAGCTGTGCATCATAGTTATTCCCAGAGACTGCCTGCCCACCTGGGGAATCTGGCCTTGAGATAAGCATCTCCACTTCTCTTATTTCAGTGTCTTATGGCCCACAGTCCAAGTCCCTCCACCCAACCTGGCATTGCTGCTGCTTTGTTATTGTCTTCGTCCAAAGACCAGCCAGGACCCCCTGAGAATGTGCACCTAAAGCCACTACCTTTCTCACTCCCAACAGTGTGCACCACATTTTGTTATGCTACAGTCTACCAAACATTTAGCAATTTCAGTATGGAGGGGGATATGGATGGATAATATCATGACACAATAACATAGGCAGCTGCCTTATATTGTGTCAGACCATAGTCCAGGCCAGTACGGTTAATGCTGACTGGCAGAAGCTCCCCAAGGTTTCAGGCACAACTTTTTTTCCACCCACCCTGGAGATGACAGGAATTGAACAAGGGACCTTCTGCAAGCAAAGTTTTGCCCATTCCCAAGCAGAGCAAGTGGAATGGTGCATGTGCATTATTGCCAATGAATTCCTTAATGATAAACAAGCAAACCTATCCCCATCTTTCTGAGGCAATAGAGAGGAGGAGATATTTCATCTCTTGAACTCTGAATAAAGAAGACATGTGAATCTCTAACAAAGGACAATGCAAATCAGCTGGTGCATTACACTCTCCAGAGCACATACTAAAGCCAGAAGACAATGTAAATAGTTTACTCTTTCGAGTCAGGACTGTTCCAACCCTTTAAAGAAGTGCATGAGCAAGTATGCACACACGCACGCACGCACACACAGAGAGAACACTAAACTTGCCTTGCACAACAGTGCCCTCTTCTGCCTTTGTAAAAAAAAAAAACAAACCCATAATAATTTTCACGTTTACTCAAAAATAATTCACAACACTAAGTGTATATCTGGTAATAGCTGAAGTAGTAGCAGTACCAATAATACAAGGATCACACATTGAACAATATTCAACATATTTTTGGGAAAGACAAACAAAACTAGGTACAACACTTTTATCTTGGTTCTATGACAACCTTTTTTTTAAATTAGGAAACTTGTTCAAGATGATTTTTGTCCCATTCTTTTTAATACTAAAATTGTATTGAAGTCTGTGCCTGTGTGTGCAGGAAATCTTTATTACAAAGGCAAATTATTGAAAATGCATTGGATAGGGACATTTTATATAATCTGCTCTCAGAAGATCCAAGAAGCAGTTTCCAGAGCATATTCCATACCTATAGGACAGTATCACAAAGGCGAAGGTAATTCACAGGCATATGATATAGGAACATGATATTCTTTTCTTCTGACAAGAAGAAAAGAATTTTGAAAGACCTCACAGAACTTTTAGAGAAGACAGCATGACTACATGAAATCTTTTTATTTACTTAACATACATTAACAAATAGTTTTTGCTAAGTATTTTTACTCAATACATGATAGTCTCCCATCCAGAGAGAGCTAATCATGTTTAAAGCCCATTGAAATGAATAGGACTTAAGCTTAGAACATTAACTTGTTACATTTATTTTAGCAGAATTTAACTACAACTAACATTTTCTGGACTGGTGCTTTAACAGAAGCTCATATGGCAAAAGCTAGAAAAATATAATACATGTGATGTTTGTGGTATGTATGTGTAACTAATTTCTTTAGTGGAAGGATGAAGAGGAAGCTGAAAGCAAGACTATTTTCAGGCATTTCATTCAGAAGGCTTCAAGAAGAGTCCCACTACATAAAATGTGAAATCCAGCTAATTTATTTGTTATTTAATAAATGTTTGATCCCACTCTTCAGCCAGAAAGGTCCTAGAGCAGACTACATATAGTCAATAAAACAAGACAATCCTTGCCTTCAGGCTTATAATCGAAAAGGCATAACACAAAAATTAAAAAGGGCAAAGAGTGCAGAGGAAAACAAGCAAATTCAGGCACCAATTCTTACACTTATAAAATAGTTTTTAATGATCAGCCTGAATGGAAACATTCAAGAGAGCAGAGGAGCCCAGTGAAGCTGGTCTTTCAGCAGAGCCGATGGAATTGTCCTCGTTCCCATCAGATTCTACCTAGTGAACTGACTGCTGAATGATGGCAGCTGGGGGAGGAATCCACTGGAACTTGTCCTTCAGCGGAGCACCGTGCCTGCTCAGAAGTAAGACTATACAGTTCAGTGGGGCTGCTCCCTTGTAACACCTAGCAGTTGGCATTGTGTTGCTTTTATGATGTGTACAGTGCTCTAACCGTCATGGTCACTTTTATTATTATAAAGTTCTCACTGTGTTAACATAGGGCATCATGTTGAAGCTTTTCCTGCACAGGCCCCACCAAAATGAATGGACGCTGGGCAAGGGTACTACTGGGTCCTTAGTTTGCAGTATAAGCAAAGCCTCAGCTACATCTCCATATATTTTGTGTACTGACAATATGCACTGTCATATTGATTTGAATCCCAATCCAGTAATTCAGAAAGCAGTCCAATTTGGCTTAGACCAATTCAGAAACTGTCAACTTTGATTCAGTTACCATACTTGAGTCAAGATTAGGAAAACCAAGGCCTTTCCTTTCATATTAACCAGTATTCAATTTTTTAAAAAGCTGTAATATTTTTCTCTTCGTCCAACTTGAATGATGTTTGCAGGTTCAGTAGCGCCATAAAAGGAGAAGTGATTCATTTCATTTTTCCCCCTCTGCTTTTTGGGGCAGTTTGTACAAAACCAGCAAATGTCACATAGGGGTCTGCAGGCAAGAAATCTGCTACATTTCAGATGGATAAGTGCAGGTATATTGAGGAATCTGGAGGAGGGGGATGGAATTGGACAGATGTTCATGATCTGGCTCCCCAGTTTCCTGTTCACCAGCACTGCCTCTCTGTGTGGTAAGTCAAGCCTGTTTGGAGACTGCAATCTCTAAGACAGGTCAAAATTTGCACACTTTTAAAAAACACTATGGAAATTTGTGCAAATTGCATGTTTTGCAGAACTTTACACAAATTGTCTAAGTCACCGTGTTTTCCATGTTTTGTACATGCTATTTTCCATTGCATATTGACCCAGTGCACTTTGCAAATCAGCTGATGTTATGGAAATCTTGCTAGTTCCACATGCTTCTTAGCTGCCAATTTCTACAAAATGTGTAAAACGCTATGATTTACTAATTTGCATAGATTTAATGCACAAACAGCACAACTGATGCAAATTTCTTTAGCATATTTTAAAATAATGCACAGAAAGCAGCTCATCATAGATGAGATCCTACAGAAACAGAAAAAGAAAAGAAAAAACAGGCTTGTCCTGCTTCTAACCATTGGACGGGAAGTGGGCAGGAGGCTGTGAAGCTGAAAGGAAGTTGACTTCCCAACTTCAGCACATTCCTGCATGGAAAACCAGTCTAAGACTTTTTCCTAGTGAAGGCTGGTGCTGTTGGAAGCCATCTCACAGTCTCATCCTTATCCTCCTTCAAAGCATACTGAGTGAAGTCCCCTGTT